TAGTACCATATTTGTTATTTAAGCAGTATAAAGCTATCAACACATTTCGTAGTTTCTCGTAGGGTATACCAAGTGTTTCATCGAACGTGAAGGACACTTGTCCTTTTGAAAAGAGTGTCGTAATTTCATCTCAGTAAATCTAAAGCCCTTCACCGGAACACATGTATGTGAAGCTTTAGACTTGGAATCTTCTTGTACTCACGAGTAGGAACATTATCGAAAGGAATGGATTATGGTACCATGGTTGATTACACTCCAGAGACGGTAATTTAGAGAATTTTTCCGAGGAGTATTATACTGAGTTTTTGACGTTATTGAGGGTCTTAGAAGTTTTGACTTAAAAAAAATGTTCTCTCCTATAAACGACTTAATTTGATTTATTTATGTTGTTAATATACAGTAGTTGTAGGGTTCTTTGTGCAACACCAATTAATTTAATTTGTTTATTGCGTATAACATAGTACTTTTTTTTTTTTTTTTCACTTAACTTTCATTGAGATATTCTTGCGAGGAGTATTGCTATACTTGCCGGACATTGATGCCAAAGATTACTCGGACCTAGTGGCGGTCTCCGCCACGAAATTCCGGACTTATGGACAGGTAGCGTGCGTACCGATCAAGGCTCATGGATTATTGTTGTTTCAGTGCGACACGTGGTGCACTGCTGCCGGATGTATCCGGGCCGCGGGGTAATCGCCTAGCGAGGCGTCTTAGAGGCGCTCCGTCGTCGTTCTAAGACTCACTGTCCTTTGGACCGCAGGTAGGCCCTGAGGTAGTCTTGCTATCAAGTCGGCATGATAGGGCAAGGATAGCGGGATGACTGGGGTCTTCCGCAACGAAATCGTGACCTGACTGGATATGTTGGTAACAGTACTTCTTAGGTTCTGGAACGAGTGATGACTTCGTCGCCTCCGAGCGGTTTTCCGTGGCGTGCGGGTTTTCTTACCCCTCCCGCTGTATTGCGACTATTGGCTCTTACACGGTCTTCTAGTGCTGGCGTCTACCAGAGTCCCCGTGTGAGAGTCCCGTCGGCGTCTACAACTACTACGCGGGACATCTCACCCGTAGAGTTCGGGACTACCCGTTCCCCCCGCCGTGCCCGCTCCGTACACTTACCATAGTGCTGTTGGCGTCACCCGGGCGTCGCGACCATCTCCCCCCGTATTGCCGAGGAAGATCACGGGCGTACCCGTGTTTAGTTCTCAACGAGGATTACCGGCTATGGTCCGGTCATCGGAGCTATATCGCGGAACAACGTGGGTGTCCGTGGGTGTCCCGTGTCGTTGAGCTCGCACGGCAAGAGGGACTTACACTTTCCGGCACGGTCGACCCCGCCGCTACTTCACCAACACCTTCCGTATTAGTAATTATACATACGACTTTTCCGTTTATATATATATGAAGGGTGTCGTGCTAAGAAAACTTATCTAAACTCACCAAGTTAAAATCCCAGCGCTAGATAACTCGTTTCCTTTTCCCAGGTCTCCGCGCTGGTCAAACTCTTGCGTGACGAGATCTGTTTGGGTGAGCAAAAATTACCAATGTTAACGAATAATAATTTATAACTAGACAATTTTACAACATGAACGCGTTAGCTAAATATTTACACAATTACACATACATACAGAAAATTAACCTAAATTAATCAACATCAACAACTCCGTGTAAACTTTTTATAAATTTACGTGTCGATAGTAGTTGTTCTTTTACACACTTGATGAGACTTTTGATGTTTTAATATTGAGGGGATTTCATATAAAGTTACATAGTCACGTGATGCGACTTATGTTATGTATATTGCAACGTTTGTAGATACTTGACCCGACAAGCTCTCCTTATAAACCGTCGGAAGTGTAAATGAAGTGCACCGAATATTCGGCCGCCGAAAATTATCGGCCGAAAATGGTTAAAAAGGCCCTTTCGGCCGAAGAAATATCACCGAATGTCAGAGAACAGGGTTACGTTGGTAAGCTAACGTGTTGTTGTGATGACGTAATCAAAACGCGGCGACAAGCACGGGGTGCGACCATGCTTGCGGCTGGCTCACAGCCAACATGTCTGCCACTTGGAGATATTTAAAAATATCAGAGAAAGAGGCGCGGATTGCGATTTGTAAAACGTGTTCAGCTGACATTTCTCGAAGGGGTGTAACTGCAAAGACTTTCACCACTTCGGGATTACTCCACCACTTGAAATCAAAACACCCGGACAAATATGCGGAGTAAGATCAAATCACAAGCACTGACAGCGAGAGACTGTTCAGCGCTGCCTCTCATGTGCTTGATGAGAAGAGGAACAGACTTATGGCTGATAAAGCAGAGAAGCTACTGTTCATTAAAAAGAACCTCCCACTTTTCCTTAATAAGTAGACAAGGCTGGCTTATCATAAGCTTATCTAGTTCTACATGTCTACTCTATACCCACTTTCCTGAACAATTTTCATTGTGAGTTATAATTCACCATCTCAGGTTATCATTATCACCTGACAGTGATGGTGCAAAGTGGTTTGACAGCTGATTATCTGAAGGCAGCTTAGAGACTACACCCAGAACTACGTCACCTTGTGTACAGGTAGATGATGCAGCAGTGATGCTGACAGTGCTAGCCATGACTGCTACATGCGATACACATTCAGTCAGTGCTCCTAAGCAGAGTGATTATAAATATTATACACAGCAGCCTCTTTAACAAAGGGAGGAGTCTTAATGATCGGAGAGTACTAACTCCCCCCTGACCCCCCCATCCCGCCACTTCTTCTTCTGTGATTAGTTTATGACGCATCGGCGGAGCCTCCATTTGCTGGGAGAAGCACACCAGCTCCAACCTCCACCTTTAATGAGCCAGAGAGCACCGCTGAGAGAGGCGCTGACAAGCCAATCAGGGCCGGCCTCTCGCTGCACGTCAGTAACTGGCACCTTACACGCCCCCCCCCTCCTCCTGGCCACTGCCGCCGCCTGCCTTTACATAATATAATGACTGTTTCAGTCAGCTGCTACACAAGCCACACTCTCGTTCTCCTCACCCACCCGTAATCCCTCCCACGACCTCCTCCCCTCCCCACCCCTCTAGCTTCGGGCGCTCTGCCAGGCCAAAGCAATAAAGGAAAAGAAAAGGAGACATGGCGAGAGAAAGAAAGAGACAGGCTGGATGTTGATAGAGGGCAAATGGAGCTCCTTCTAAAGCCAAATCAGACTTTTCATGAAGCCAACACCAACACAGAGATGTTTAGGTACACATCTTTAGAAAAATGTACAGCGAGGACTCGTCATACTTGCAAGCAACTATCAGCTCCCACAGAGCAGAGCAGCAAGTAGAGGTGTCACTTTGCCCCCAAACAGCAGACAGAAAGTGTGCAGACATCCACGCTCAGCACAGGATTCCAACAGAAGGCAGGATTTTGTAACCCCCTCTTCTTCTCCAGCTGTATATTACCACAAAGAAACCCCTCCCTGCTCCTCTACCCTCCCCCAATTCCTCAAACCCTCCGTCTTCTCCTCCCCCCTCTTTCACTGTAAAAATAAACACATGCTTACTTTCAAGGGCCCCTGAATGTAGCCAGAGCTGAGAGATTCATTTGTTAATATTACAGCAGCCAATCAGGAGGGGTTATGTGTAGGCATGTGTGTGTGGTGGGGTAATAAAGCAGTGACACAGCCAAGATACACTTAGAGCGCAGGGATTTCTTTTCTTCATCTTGCTCTACCCTCACAAAAGTCTTTGTGTGTAGGCCGTGTGTGTGTGCAGGACACACACACACACACACACACACACACACACACACACACACACACCACCCCAACCAGGTGAGCCTACACTGGGTTCTCCAGAACGCCCTGAGTCACCAACACAGGCTCCCAAGGGGCACACACCTGTCCGTACACACACACACGGCCCTACCACTAGGTATGGCAGAGTGGTGGTAAAACCTCAC